CACCAGCCCGGGATAGATCGTATACAACACGCTGGATATACTTACGTGTCAAATTTCGCTTTGAGAGTCTCAATAACGTTCTTCCAATCTTGGTGAGCGGTTAGGCTTCGCCTAGGGGCGCAACCGATTGCATGTCTCGAATCGAGCTGTACATCAAGGGGATCAAAGGCATGGCACCCAGGGCTGATCGAGATGCGAATTGAGTAAGAATTCTTCGATGACTCGGCATCCTTAGCTTCATAGAGTTCGAAGCATATTTGAGATAGGTAATCTAACTCGGGGATAGCCCGCCGAGCGATTTTCGTCTGAATACCACCTTCCAGGATGCAGTTCAGGAGGGTGTATATGTGAGACTCCTTTGTGAAATAAAAGAAGGACTTGGCATCTGGCGAGGCTTGAACTTCTTCCAAATCCCTAACAATCTCTTGGAGTAATGGTAAAGATGTCAATAAACCGATCTCCAGCTTTTCCGTATCAGTAATTCCATATTCCTGAGGAGTGACATAGTCAAAAAGAACCTTCGCCAACTTGTACAACTCTCTCAATTTGGATAGCCTGCTATCCAGCTTGGCTTTCTTGGCGCTTGATCCTGGATATAACTTGAAATAGTGATCGTAGGTGTCATCCAAGGCTCTGAAATGCGGCATTGATTCAAATGCATGCATTCGTCGCTTCAGCCCCAACCGATGCACAAACGTTGAACTGTCCGCATGCCCCTCGTCCCTTTCATGATTCGCATCTTCGTTACCTGGCCTGATATCCCCGACAGCAGTGTTTTGCGTCACACCATTCGAATGGGAATAACCTTCACCTTCCGCACCATCGTCGGTGTCCGGGGGCATAAACACCCATTCCAAGAACTGCCGGTTGTGGAGAGCATCAAATTTCATACTATCGTATAGTTCGGAGAGTTTGCTGGGATCAACCTTCTCCGTATCGCAAAATTCGGCGAAGAGCTTCTCCCACCTCTCCTTGAAAAGCATAGGGTCCTCGCCAGTGCACCAACGTCCCTGGATAGAAGCCAATGGAGAAACCTCACCGTGTGTGTTGGAAAGATCATCATTATGGGGGTATGATTCAACCGGAAGGCTCGACGAGCGCTCAAGTCTCCGGAAATTGTGCCTCATAACATCCCGATGAAACTTCATAAGCTCAACAACCGTAGCGAGGACAACTGAGGGCTCTGGGATATTATCTTTGGGCCATGTGAACTGCGAGGGTGCGGACCCTTCTCGCAAAAGAAGCTTCAGCTTCTTTTTCACTTTGTCCATGAGATCTTTCGCGGCGTTCGAATCATCTAAAAGGTCTTTCCGGACCTGTATGAAATCGTCCGGAAGCTCCTTTTGATCAAGGAAAGAGCAGGCCCAGATTTGAGCTATGAGACTCGCTTAGCTCGCTACCTACTAAGCATAAGGATGCGTAGACTTACCGCTAGTACTCACTCTGCGCTCAGAGCTCGTGAATATTCGAACATTATTCAAAGCTTCCTTGTTCATTAATTTCAAGTCATCGCGCATATTAAGACCGAGGTCCTGGGATTGATAGCGGGCTGCATGGGTTGGTTCCCCTCCCCATTTGATTACAAGCTGGAGCTTGTCTAAAATGAGATCGTTCTCTGCAGCAGAAAACCTCGAGAACGTGGCACCGGATATAGAGTCGCTCCGAGTCTGGGTCCTAGTTAGATCTTCATTTCCTCCTGGAGCTTCACCAAGACTAGGGGACACAAGTGTATCCGGGGTGCCCTCAGCAGGCTTCGTTGAAACCGTGGAGGCCTCCTGCTCACGGGATTCTTCTGGTTTCCGCTTACGAAACATCGGCTTTATTTGAACCTTTGTCCCAGGCCAACCGCCTTTCTTCTCTAGGGATGTACGGAGCAGTTTGAGCTTATCCATATCTTCCAGTTCTCGCTCCATTGCCATCTTAACTGCATCAGAAACGCTGGCCAGCGCAGCCTCACCTTTTATGACCACTTCTTCTTGATGCCCCTTCAGGAGATCAATAAAAGGTTGGCTGTGGAAAGTAAACTTGAATTTTTGCTTCGGTGTGCGATCTGCATGCCGGATGACTGCTACCATACCCTTCAGCTTCCACGAGTGTTTGGAAGCTGGGGGTGGAGGAGGGGCGTCATCAATCGAATCTGTTGACGCGACAGATGCATTTGCAGCTTGAGGAATCAAACTTCCTGAGAACGAAAACCGTTCCCGTCCGCTCGGCTTTTTATGGCTATTCCCATTATCTAGCCCTTCAGTGGAAGAGGCAGGCAGCCCTGGAACGGTATTTTCCGAGAGAGCATCGTCGGGGCTCTTGTGACCCGGTGGACTTCCATGGAGCTTAGATGCGCTAGGAGATTTCAACAGAGTCTTCAATGTGTGTCTGTGGGACACAGAGTGCCTCCAGGAATGGTTCGAATCTGGGTGGAAAGATTCGGATTCCAGGCTCCCTTCACGTCTGCGCTTCTCATGTAGGAAAATATCTTTCAGGATACTGGCACATCTGTCATAATAGTCATTGTTATCTTTGACGAAGCTCCAGCCATTAACATCAATCACGTAGCTTCTGTCACCAACACGGAGCATGTCAAAACCACAGATGCGCTGGCCAAACCCGTTCGATATTTTAGAAGCAATTGTTGCCTCGTCCCTGCTTAATTTTGTTATATACCTAAGCTCCTTTCCGTGGGTATTGCGACGGACAAGCCCGTCAACTACTGGTGACTTCCGTGTTTCTGCATGACAGAAGTCTGGGCCGACAGTATAGGCCTTGACGTCCTCGGAATTATCCACCCTCACAAACTGTTCATAAATATAACTGGAACCATTTTCCGTCACTGATCTAGGAATAACCAGGCCTGGATCATATTCAGAACTTTTATTTCCAACCTTTCGGAAGAGCCTCCGGCCGCCGCCACCGTATTGCTGATCATTAGGAAAGTATATGTGAATATTATGATTTTCCCCATTGACCGGTTTTTCAACGAACGGCTTTCTAAATACCTTCCCATCCACGATTAATGAGTCACCATCATCAGACATTGCCACCTCCTTCGTCCTAGAGAGACCTCCCCCGGTGCCGTCCTCGGGACCTTCAAGCTTGACCCCAGTCAGTTGATAGACGTGCTGGGCAAGTTCGGGAGATTCCAGTGTTGGGCCACCATCTCGGTTAACTTCCAACCGCTTGGGTGTAGGAACACTCATGTTGTCCAATATCCTCAGACAAAGTCGCCGATCCCATAGGACCTTCTGCATCGGCAAGTCGTTCACACAAAACGGCTTTCGGAGTTTCGCATATGCAATGGCTTTGTCCAATGGGAACCCGTCTGAAAAGAACGCAATGAGATAGTCACACACGGGCCAGTTCTCTACAGCTTCATCGAGGATGACCTTGTCACCAAAAACAATTACTTCAAATCCGCCCTTAGACTGAAGACGGGTCAGTATGTTTTGGCTAGGTTTGCTGCGAGCTTTGACATCTAGAGCGCAAACTCCAATTTTTCCTAAGCTAGGAGGTGCGGGCTCAACCTCGCTAATGGAACTTGCAGCCGTGCTTCCACTCATTCTTCTTCGTGCTCTGCTAGAAGAACGGGTAGAAGGATGATTGCTGCGCCCTGCAATTTGAGTATCAGACGTGCAGTCGGTTTTGGAGGCCTTGGTCTGGTGGGACTGTATGCCATGTATTCCTCTCAGGGCAACAGACGCTGCATTCTCATGGAGCAAATATGCTGATGATTTATCTGTCTGATCAGGATCAGCACTTGACGACGTGGGAGCTAATCTCGCAATGCTCTCAATACTGCTTTTAGAAGAGTCAACTCCAACAGAACAACTGCTACTACGGTCACAATTCTGATCCATTCAGGAGGAAAGAAAAAGAGAAGAAAAAAGAGTAAAAAAAAGAGAGGGAGGTAAAGTAAATGTTATATACTGTCTGGAGACAACAAGCAATGGTCTCAATAATCGTGAACTCCGATGACGGAACTGAGGGTAGCGGGTGAATTGGAAAGCTTTCTGGAAGGCACACACAATCATGAGAAGAAGAAATGGGATGTAAGAAAGGGGCGGTTGGGTGGCGGAGGAGCGGTTTTTGCAGTGTTTTGCTACTGACCCGTATTAGATTCTATCAAAGCTTCCTTGGAAAGAGAGCCCAGACAAGAATGAAAGGGAAAGAAACAAGTCGTATGTTTATGAAGGTAACTAGAAATTGATCACATTTCTACCTCACTTTTAGATTGAAGGAAGCCATTACCTCTGGCTAAATGTTCTAGAGAGAGGAAGAAGGGCGATATCTATGAAGTACGTCAGAGAATATACGTCACTATCATCCTATTTAATGCTTTGCTGCAAGCGGAGTGTCTTTTTCCTTTCAATGTTTCTTTCTTTCTTCTTTTTGGTTTGGTTCTGTCTTTTTGCTTTTTCTCTCCAGGGTGCACTTAGAGCTTACCGAAACAGTTGACACAGAGTGACAATACATACCGTTATTATGCTGTAAACTTTCACAAATATAAAATACTACCTTGTTCATATTGATCGACTCGCTTATCACAAACCAGGGGACCTTACGAACCTCTACTCTGGAGTTAACCTTAAGACAAACGCGTTAGCGACTTAGCCTCCTGGTGGCTTGTATGATGAGCAGGAATATATTATCTAGTATCTTGTAGTTTAGAAGGCGGGGCCCAGTCGGGTGTATATCATGTACTTACCTGGTTACGTAAGCGGTATGTATGCAGTAAACTAAAAATGGGGCTCTGGATGGAGTACAGAGTACCGACTAAAACTCTCCGAACGGATAACTAAGTATCACTGGGAACAGTACGCTAATACCGATCTGCTTTGGTGCTAATACTGTTTTTCCGGGAAAAAAAAAAAAAAAAAAAAAACCGTACCCTGTCAAAGCGGCAAGAATAATATTAGTACTAGTACAGAAACTTGTTCCGTTTTTCGATATCAACTCCTGCTGGAGCTGCGTTCCCATCTTCAATTGAGCATATTGTCCCTTATATAATGCCGTCCCTCACGGATGATGCATTTGATATGCCACTGGCGAAGAGGCAGAAAAGGATTTTAGACCAAGATGTTCGAACAGGGCCACCAACGGTTGGGTCCAAAGTTTTCTCTCCGTTTCGAGTACGTGAGACAATATTTGAGCACTTAACCCATGACTTCCTAAAAGTCGTCGCTCTTTTTGCACCTGTCCCTTTTGATCTCGTAACTGACGTTCCTTAATGTAAGACTTTGGGCCTAGTGTCTCCTACAACTGTTCCCTTTACGTCTGTTCGTTTAGGCAAAGCAACCTACCAGATCACGACATCGGTCGGACGTTCAGTGCAGACCTATGATTTACGGCGAGGGCTAAATCTTGTGTTCATCAGTAGACCTCAAACTCCAGATACCATTACGGCTACATTCGCATGGCAGGACAAGGTTTTTGTGGCATGGGGGCATCTCCGACCCGGTTCATCTGGCGGCATCTGGGTTTACAAGCGTGGCAAGAAGATTGCATCCCTCGAAGCCTCCAAGGATGCCACTGAGCCCATTGTACGGCTCCTTGTTTTTGGGTCGTGGGTCGTGGGATGCGGCAGCGAACGCATACAGGTGTGGAAAAACACCACATATCAATATTACACAGCTTTAGTTCCTCCGCGCACTAAGGACTCATCTGGGCAACAAATATACACAGGTCAGGTGTGTACTATGCCAACTTATCTTAACAAGGTTTTTGTTGGACGGTATGATGGAGGTATCGATATCTGGAACGTGAAAACAGGGAAGATAATTTACACAATACTTCCATCATTTTCAAGAGCCGGCGCTGTGACTGTGCTCCAACCAACTCCTGTATTATCCTTAATTGCAGTCGCCTACAAGAGTGGTGCATTATGTATTCGCAATGTCGAAACTGACCAGGTCGCATTGTCCTTGCGAATGGGCTCATCGGATGCGCCAAGGATAACCTCGATATCGTTCCGGACAGATGGCCTAGGCGCGGGCGAAGATGGTCGAAGATCAGGTGTCATGGCAACGGCTTGCATAGACAGTGGAGATATCACAATGTGGGATTTGAACAACGGCGGTAGAGTTGTGGGGATGCTTCGAGGCGCACATCGAGTTACTGAGGGGGGGAAGGGATTGGGGGTAAATCATATTGAATTTTTGGATGGGCAGCCAGTAATGGTCTCATCTGGGAAGGATAACGCCCTCAAGACATGGATTTTTGACGAGCTACCCTTTTCGCCTATCCCCAGACCACTCCACTCCAGAAGCGGTCACTCTGCTGCAGTTACTACCCTCGAGTTCTTACCTGCCGCTTCGGACGGTTCTGAATTCGGCGGTAAGTGGTTGCTGAGTGCAAGCAAGGATTGCAGTCTCTGGGGTTTCAGTATGCGAAAGGATAGCCAAAATACCGAGATATCTCAAGGAGCTGTGGAACGCAAAGCAAAGAAGCTTATTGGTTCGAAAACGGTGCCGGGGGCACAAGAACTCAAAGCGCCGGAGGTAACTTGCATCGCTTGCTCTCTTAATCGCGATGGAGGAATGGGTGTTACAACTTCCGGTCCAATCTGGGCAAATCCAAAATCAATCAATACGGATGCTTCAAACAAGACAGGCTGGGAGAGTGTTCTGACAGGGCATCGTGGAGATAAATTCGCCCGAACTTGGTTTTGGGGTAAGAAGAAGGCTGGGCGCTGGGCATTTGAAACGGGAGATAAAATGGAGGTTAAGGTACGTGAAACCTTGTCCATAAAGCAGGGGTCTCGATCTAACCGGTGAACTTCGGTATCAGAGTGTCGCTATCTCACAGTGTGGGACTTTTGCATTGGTTGGGTCAGCAGGAGGTAGCATCGATATGTTTAACATGCAATCTGGTTTATACCAACAGAGTTTTCCTAGTCGTGGCAGAGGCAACGGTGCAAAGCATAGCAAAGCAGTTACCGGGGTAGCTATTGATGGATTGAACCAAACAATCATCAGTTGTGGGCTTGATGGGAAAGTGAAGGTTAGATTCCAAACTCTTTGATGTGTAAAATCAGACTAACCGTTACCTCAACAATTCAGTTTTGGGACTTTACCTCGGGATCACTTACTGATGAGCTCGACTGGTATCCGATGACATCTATCACTGGACTTCGATACAACAGCACGAACGAACTCGTCGCATTTAGCTGCGACGACCTTTCAATACGTATCGTTGACATAGAGACGAGAAAGGTCGTTCGTGAATTCTGGGGTTGTGTAGGTCAAATCAACGATTTTACATTTTCCTCTGATGGGCAATGGATTATTGCCGCTTCGATGGATTCTATCATTCGGGTATGGGACTTGCCGACAGGACATCTCATCGACCTCTTCCGTGTCCCCAGCACATGCACTGCCTTGGCTATGTCATCCACGGGCGAATTTTTAGCCACCGCCCATGCAGATGGACTAGGTGTCAGTCTCTGGTCCAACAGGAGTTTATTTGTACCTGTATCAACCCGGAATTTGGATGAAGCCGACGTCGTAGACGTCGGAGTTCCTACTATTTCCGGCGAGACTGGGGTGGGGGCTATTGAAGCTGCATTCTTAGATGACGATCAACCAAGTGATGCCGAAGGGCCCATGTTATCCACAGAACAGCTCAGTCGTGATATGGTCACACTCAGCGTCATCCCCAAGAGCAAGTGGCAGACCATGCTTCATTTGGACCTAATTAAGGTAAGATGCCTTCTCTGTGGAGACCCAACCTCTAGGAACTCTCTTTAACAATGTCTAGGAACGCAATAAACCAAAAGACCCTCCAAAAGCCCCGGAGAAGGCACCGTTTTTTCTGCCAACGGCTGCCGAGAAAGGTAATCCTGATGAGAATCTCGATCCTAGTCTCCTAGCTGATATTACAATCACCGAACGCTCGCGTGTCGCCAAGATGCAGCATTCTATGAATGCTGGTATCGCAGGCTCCCGGTTCGCTACACTCTTACGGTCCGGCCGGGATACAGGGAACTTTCAACCCTTCATCGAGTACTTCAAATCTATGTCTCCGGCAAAGGCCGATTTAGAGATCAGGTCATTGGATCCTCGGATACACGAGGGCCACTCTGAACTGTCAGACTTTGTTCTCGCCTTGTCTACCCGTCTCCGCTCAAAATTGGACTTCGAACTTGTCAACGCCTGGATGGCGATGTTCTTGAAAATCCACACTGATGTTGTGATGAAATGCTCAGAGTCCGGGGAGAATGAAGCGTTGAGGGAGGCATTGGCCAGCTGGAGTAAGGCACAACAACGGGAAGGGCAGCGCCTGGCTGAGTTGGTTGGGTATTGCCGTGGTGTTGTAGGATTTCTTCGGTCTTCACGCTAGTTTGTTAACATGAGCCCCAAGGCAGCGAACTTTTCGTTGTCCTGTTCATATGTAGCATTTCATTTTTTATGTGTTCGTAACGCTATTAAAACTCCTAAATGTACATCTTGGGCTGGTAAACTTATTCCATGGGCAACAGGTCATATATGTTGTCTATCTTGTGTGGGGACCTAGGGCTACCTACTCTAGGCTTATACTGTTGCGAAGCCATTGAGCTTGTTAACCCAGCATCGGGAATCTCACTGCAGGTTTCTTCTTTTCCCAAGACTTGCACAAGTCGATGCACCAGTGCACTGACACAAGACATCTTAAGCGTCTCATCCATCATGCTAGACGTCGGTCCCATGATCATATGTAGTGGAGGCAGATTGCTAAGTATGGATTTCAACTCCACCATATTGTCACAAGTATCCACTGAGCCCTCAAGTAGTTGTCCTAGAATTCGTAGTGAGTATAGCACTGCCTGGATCTGTGCAGTGAGCTGAATATCCTTCCAGTCAAATTTCTTACTCATATGTCCCATGGTAAGAAAGCGGTTCAGTCGCGCATGATCAAGGGTTACAAGGTTTGAATCTGCCTCATGGAGATCACAAAGCGCAAATATGATCCAGTATGCTGGTAAAGTTGTTTCAACCTCAACCTTCTCCTGTACTGATCTCAGGCGGATTAAGAGGCATCTTGTTTCAGTCTTGATCCAATTTTCACTGCCAAGGACCACCTTATCCACAGCTATCCTCCCTCCCCGTCGGGCGAATTCATTGATGAAGTCAACTCTTTTGGAAACCGGGAGAGAAGCGTTTAAGACTGAATATGCCAGGGTCCTGTACAAACGGCCTTCAGCCCATGCACAACGCCTCGCATGGTCCTCGTTCAAAATTGCAAGGTACATGTGCGGGGCCTCTGGGACCATGTGAACTTGTCGCCATTCAAACTGCCAGAATAACTCCGAGACCCTTGCATCAAGATGCGGCACGCGTTGTGGGTTGGTCGCTTCAAATTTATGCATGTCTTTTTGATATTCTTGGATAAAAGTTTGATAGTCCGATGTGTTTTCGGGTCCCTCGTGAGTGTTTGCTCTCTGGACTAGCTCTGCTGTTCCCGCATCTGGGTGTGTCTTAAGTTCAAAAGCAAAGCGCAAAATATCTGGAATTCCCAATCGGCGAGCAACCAATGCTGGACTCAAACTCGTGGCTCTTATTTGCCGTTCTGATGGTCTGAGAGGGTCCCAACCAACAATCTCGATTGAGTCCAGGGAAATGATAGAGCCCCGAGGCCCTAGGTCATAGAGAAGAAGGTCTGAATCATTTGTTAGGATGGAGGAATTTATACATTTTGCGATGTAGGCACAATAAGCATCGGCTTCTCCAGGAACCATTACAGTAATATCCGCCCAAGGAAAATCTTTGATCTCAATCAACTGCATGGACAGGGCATCTCTCGCTACAGTCACGATGTTCTCTCTATTCCATCTATGTTTGAGATCCTCAAACACCGCAGGAACCATAAAGGGGCTCTCTGGGAAATCATTATATCTTGCAGGTAAGGTCCGGCCCTGTAGAACTTTTTCAAGAGCTATTGCACGCTTGCCGCTATACCCACTAGAGCTCTGGAGGGCACCCTGGGGTTTGAGGCGAAGTAATTCAAGTTTCCTCCTTGATTTTTCCAATCGAAGGAGCCGTGTTTGTCGTTTTTCGGACGGCAAAGCGCCGTCGAAGTATATCCGTTCGCTAGAAGGATCAGCAATATTGTTCAGAATGTTTGGAGCGTGTGCATCAAATACATGTTGACACCGGTAATAGTCAGAAGCAGAAGATAAATCATAACCCCACAGCTTACTTCATTGCACGTCGGCTGTGCGTCTGGGAATCCAGTTCTCGAATCTGACCAAGATAGTAACCGCCAAAAGACATGGTACACAAGACTAGGTCCATCGATTACAACGGACTGGACATGGTGAACTCCATCCTGCCGCTTTTGCAGCCTGCCCTCGATTAAGACAGCCTCGGCAAATGGACGTAAATGCCGTGTGAGACGGGGTATTCCCATTGTTCTGGGGTGTCACATTGACATCTGACCACTACTCTCGGGTAGTCCTGTGGATCACGGGGTAATGCGGCTAGGTCTCCCTTTTTCCTTTTCTCTGTTAGGCGCTGCTCTTTGTGTTCCCACCTCTTAGGGGAAGATGGGGAGCGACCTATAATGAGATATTCAAGAGAGAAAAGGCTGTGAAGATCCGCCCTATGCTCTACGGAGCATAGAGAGGGGCGGCTTGGTGGGCACAAGTAGTGTCAACTGTAGATTACCACTATCACGGAAAACGATAGATAACCAACCACCTGCCTAGCCGATAGTCAGAAGCGTCCTTGCGGTATACCCTTGGGACGCTGGGGGCAGGGAGCGGCAGTACACTTGTTACTGGTGGATAAAAGGTTTGTGGCAGCCTGGCAGGGCTTAGATTCTGCCCACTCCACTCCGCGCCACTTTTACCTAGAGTTCTATTGTAACGGCGGGCTATATAAGTCACTCCCAGGGCTTCAGAATAGTTGATCCCGAATTATTCTGACCTTTTGGCCCTGTGGAATAGGGTGCCCTGGGTCTATCTCTTGCATCTATTTAGTGTATGCGAAATGCACTTCAGTTCTTGGCGTATTTTTTCAATTCTTTGCGCTCCATTTGCAAAACCCATATATTTGAATACTTATAACTTGTTGACCGCAGCTTCCTGTTTTAACCTAGCGCCTACGCGCGCCTTTATTAGATAGTCACGTAGCTAATATTTTATAATAGAATAATCAACGATTTCAATCCTAATTAGAAAATTATGGAACCTGTGTAGCGTACTTGGGCGTTTTCCTTACATTTTGATATTCTGGCGGCACGGTTTGACCGCCTTTATAACCGCTTTGAGGTCTTTCTTAGTTCTATTTCCTACCTCCCGATTTTACTAAGTCTAATATTTATTATAATATTTAATTAATATATTTAATTAATAAAATATAGCTATATTTTAACAGTATATTTAGTATCTAAGTTATATAAATATCTATGAGAATATATCAATTACTTTTATTATTTTTTATTATTTTTAATTATTTTTTCAATTACTAGGAAATCTATACTAATTTTATTACTACTTCTTTTAACTTTTATATTTACTTATATTTTCTTTTATTTCTACTATTTATAATTATTTTTTATCTTTCTATTTAATTTATCAATTTCTTAATTTATATTAATTAACCTATTAATTTTTTGTATCTCTTATAAAAATATCGCTATATATAATATATTATATAAAATATTATTTTAATATTATATAAGGGGTCAAAAGTCTGACTATATTAGCGCATTTCTATTAATATATTAGAAAATTATATTTTCTTTAACTACCTACTATACTATTATTATAAGATCTTTTAAAATTAAAATTAATAAAATAAAAGATTAAATTAAAAGCTTTCTATTAAAACGCGTATAATAATTATATCTAATTTAAGAAAAATATATTATTTATTTAATGGATAAAATAATTTAATATTTATTACTTTATTATTTATTTAATTAAAAAAATATTTTTAATATTA